TATTTTCTGGAAAATTGAAAATAATGACTATTTGGTAGGTAATAGTATTGACAAGAACATAATTTAAAAATATTTTTATGAAACTATACAGCGTCAAATTTGTAGAAGATGTTTTTAAAATTATAATAAATAATAGTATATTAATATACTAAAAGCGTAGTATTCATTTTCATTTTTTATTTAAATACAATGTTATACTGAACATAATTTATTTATGAAAATATTTTTTACTTATTTACACCTTTCAAAAAATAATGTTTATAACAGCATTATTTTTTTTCACCCTTCCGATCTTCGGCGTATAGTTTTTTTGTAGACTTGTAGTTTTTATGAGATACGTTTATTCGTGTCTGGTTATTGTAACCATCATTATTTAAAAAAAAAACCTAGACGTCTTGTGGTTTCACCCTCAGATATTACATTATGTTTGTTATTATGTGAATCACATAATATTATCCAGCCGCATGCTCCTGGAGATACATCACGGGAGATGAAAACGCTAAGCTACCACAATAACCGGTTTGGGCATAAATAACAAAATCTGTATCCCGTCACCTATTGAGGCAATATAATTTAAAAATTCCAAGATCAGGTTTCTCAAACACTAAATAATAACGAAAAAAAGAGTTCTAATGATGTATTGTTACGAAAGGTAGGTATATTAAACCGTTCGACCCTTATTAAAGGTTCATCGAACTTAAAATGACCTCTAATTTGAAGTTTTTAAGCTTTCTAGTGTCTATGTTGGGTAAATACAAAATTAATTTTTTTAGATAATATCGTTTATACTATTGTCTATTTATAATATTATATTGTTTGCAGCTCCGGAATGGAATGGAATGTTTACATTATTTAATAGGACGTAGTGTCGTAGGTAGTCACTTGAAATTAATTATAAATATTCTGTCCCCAAATGAATATCATTAGGTAAATACCAGTTATGAATACTTATGATTGAATTTTGTCATTATGAAAGTTTCAAACTATTATTATTTTATTGGTCTTCATGATTTTTGTTTTTATCTTACCAAAATATTGAAAATAAAAATATTTGTTTTTCTTATTTACCATATAGGTAGAGTTTATTTATATAAAATGCAAGGCTGGGCAAGTTAACGTTATATATTCTAACTCAGTTAAATGTAATAGATATTTTTAATACATAAACCAAGTTTAAATTAAGTTAACAAATACTACTAACTTAACTTAAATTTATAAGTTAAGTTAATTTTTAAACAAAACATGTATTGAAAAAGTATTAAAATAAGTGGTAATCACTTGGATAGTAATATACCTATGAATATAGATATCTGATATATTATTATTAGGTAATTAGTTATTAATTTTAATACCTATGTATGTAATTTAAAACCTGTAGGCAGTGTTGTAAAAAATACTTAAGTTATAAAATAAAGTATTTAAAATACCACCCAAATACTATCTATTGTAAAGTATTTGAGTATTACTCAAATACTTTTTAGAAGTATTTGAAATAATTTTCAAATACAAAACAAAAAAGGTGGGCAAGTGGGTGTCGCTCTGCTGTACAGTAGGTTACAAGTGGGTCACTGTATAATGGATGGTATTAAATTTGAATTCAATGATATAATATGATTGTATAAGAAAAACGATTCTGAGCGGTGATGGTATGTCAGTCTATGTATAAGGCATATTATATACATATCTATGGTATTAAACAAAAAATTGACCTATAATAGGTACCTATAATAAATTCCAAATTAATCATATCACAATATCCATTAGATACTTATAACGCGTTATACATCAACAAAAACCGTGATACTATCATAGATATATAATAGTACACTTTAGAAGTTTCAAGTACCCACGAATAGTATTATTCAATCACAACAAAATAACTAAAATCGTAATTCTTGGTTTAAATATGAAATTTTGTCTAAATTTGAAATTAAAATGTCTGTAAAAAATAAGTATGTTTATATATTTTTTAGATTTTTTGGTTACAGTATGAATTATTTAAGAGAATCTTTGTTTTAAATTTTCAACTCTTAGTTATAAAAACTGAACATTTTATAATTTTTTAATTCCAACGATTGATAATTTTCGAGATTTTGATAAATTTTGTCAAAATTCCAACTTTAAATGCTTATAAAAAAAATCGTGCCTATGTATTTTTAATATTTTTCAACTGATATTGTAACAATATATCAGGAGCCTTGTATTAAATTTTTACACTTTTTGGCCCAACAGATAAAACTTTATTGATATTTATAGAAAAAAAAACTAAAAAAAATTGAAAGCTGTAAATGTCCATAAACAGCTCAAAAAGAGTCAAAATATTTTCAAAATTGTATGGTGTATAGGAAATGCTAATATAAACATTCAGTGAAATTTTCATGTATCTACAGTTATTCGTTTTTGAATTACAACAAAATAAGGAAATCGCTACATGAGAAATCGAGTGAAAATCCAATGTTGTAAAAATTTGAATTTCAAACGCTCATAAAAATTTAATTTGACTGTCCGGTAGAGATTTTTTTATTGATAAAGGTAGATAATCTTATAAGGAATCTTGTGTTTCATTTTCAAATCTTAGATTTAAAAAGAAAAATTTTTACGAATTCTTAACTCAAAATAATTTGCTAATTTTCGTGATTTTTCCATATTTTGTCAATTTTTGAACTTTAAATGCTTATAAAAAAAAATTGTGACTAAGGATTTTTAATATTTTTCATCTGCCTTTGAAACAACATATTAGGAGCCTTCTATTAAATTTTCAAGCTTTCGCAACCAATAAATAAAATTTTATTGATATTTTTAGAAAAAAAACTAAAAAAAAATGGAAAATGAAAATGTCCCTAAACAGTTCAAAATAAATCAAAATATTTTGAAAATGTTATCGTGTATAGAAAATGCAAATATAAACAACCAGTGAAAATTTCATGTATCTACGGTCATTTGTTTTAAAGTTACACCAAAAACCAAATTCGATTTTTTGGAAAATCGATTTTGCGTAAAAATTCCCGTCTTTCCTTAATTTTTATGTTGTTTTTCCCGGCGCTTGTGAAAACTACTGGAAAATGTTTACTTTTGACCCCCCAAAGTACCAACTAGATTCACTTTCCTATCAGAAAAGGTACTATTGAAGAAAATCGAAGCACTTTTACTGTCCCAAAACGTGATGACAGACACAAAAATATAAATAAAAATATAAAAAGGTGGGCAAGTGGGTGTCGCTCTGCTGTACAGTAGGTTACAAGTGGGTCACTGTTTAATGGATGGTATTAAATTTGAATTCAATGATATAATATCATTGTACAAGAAAAACGATTCTGAGCGGTGACGGTATGTCAGTCTATGTAAAAGACATATTATATACATATCTATGGTATTAAACAAAAAATTGACCTATAATAGGTACCTATAATAAATTCCAAATTAACCATATCACAATATCCATTAGATACTTATAACGCGTTATACATCAACAAAAACCGTGATACTATCATAGATATATAATAGTACACTTTAGAAGTTTCAAGTACCTACGAATAATATTATTCAATCACAACAAAATAACTAAAATAGTTATTCTAGGTTTTTTAATATGTAATTTCGTCCATATTTGAATTTAAAATGTCTGTAAAAAATCATTGTGTTCATATATTTTTTAGATTTTTTGGTTATAATATGAACTATTTATGAGAACCTTTGTGTTGAATTTGTAATCCTTAGCTATAAAAACTGAACATTTTATAATTTATTAATTACAATGATTGGTAATTTTCGAGATTTTGATAAATTTTGTCAAAATTTGATCTTTAAATGCTTATAAAAAAAAACTGTGCCTATGTATTTTTAATATTTTTCAACTGATATTGTAACAATATATCAGGCGCTTTGTATTAAATTTTTATACTTTTTGGCCCAACAGATAAAACTTTATTGATATTTATAGAAAAAAAAACTAAAAAAATTGAAAGCTGTAAATGTCCATAAACAGCTCAAAAAGAGTCAAAATATTTTCAAAATTGTATGGTGTATAGAAAATGCTAATATAAACATTCAGTGAAATTTTCATGTATCTACAGTTGTTCGTTTTTGAATTGCAACAAAATAAAGAAATCGCTACATGAGTAATCGAGTGAATATCCAATGTTGTAAAAATTTGAATTTCAAACGCTCATAAAAATTTAATTTGACTGTCCGGTAGAGATTTTTTTATTGATAAAGGTAGATAATCTTATAAGGAATCTTGTGTTTCATTTTCAAATCTTAGATTTAAAAAGAAAAATTTTTACGAATTCTTAACTCAAAATAATTTGCTAATTTTCGTGATTTTTCCATATTTTGTCAATTTTTGAACTTTAAATGCTTATATAAAAAAATTGTGACTAAGGATTTTTAATATTTTTCATCTTCCTTTGAAACAACATATTAGGAGCCTTCTATTAAATTTTCAAGCTTTCGCAACCAACAAATAAAATTTTATTGATATTTCTAGAAAAAAAACTAAAAAAAAATGAAAAATGAAAATGTCCCTAAACAGTTCAAAATAAATCAAAATATTTTGAAAATGTTATCGTGTATAGAAAATGCAAATATAAACAACCAGTGAAAATTTCATGTATCTACGGTCATTTGTTTTAAAGTTACACCAAAAACCAAATTCGATTTTTTGGAAAATCGATTTTGCGTAAAAATTCCCGTTTTTCCTTAATTTTTATGTTGTTTTTTCCCGGCGCTTGTGAAAACTACTGGAAAATGTTTACTTTTGACCCCCCAAAGTACCAACTAGATTCACTTTCCTATCAGAAAAGCTACTGATGAAGAAAATCCAAGCACTTTTACTGTCCCAAAACGTGATGACAGACACAAAAATATAAATAAAAAGGTGGGCAAGTGGGTGTCGCTCTGCTGTACAGTAGGTTACAAGTGGGTCACTGTATAATGGATGGTATTAAATTTGAATTCAATGATATAATATCATTGTATAAGAAAAACGATTCTGAGCGGTGATGGTATGTCAGTCTATGTATAAGGCATATTATATACATATCTATGGTATTAAACAAAAAATTGACCTATAATAGGTACCTATAATAAATTCCAAATTAATCATATCACAATATCCATTAGATACTTATAACGCGTTATACATCAACAAAAACCGTGATACTATCATAGATATATAATACTACACTTTAGAAGTTTCAAGTACCCACGAATAGTATTATTCAATCACAACAAAATAACTAAAATCGTAATTCTTGGTTTAAATATGAAATTTTGTCTAAATTTGAAATTAAAATGTCTGTAAAAAATAAGTGTGTTTATATATTTTTTAGATTTTTTGGTTACAGTATGAATTATTTAAGAGAATCTTTGTTTTAAATTTTCAACTCTTAGTTATAAAAACTGAACATTTTATAATTTTTTAATTCCAACGATTGATAATTTTCGAGATTTTGATAAATTTTGTCAAAATTCCAACTTTAAATGCTTATAAAAAAAAATCGTGCCTATGTATTTTTAATATTTTTCAACTGATATTGTAACAATATATCAGGAGCCTTGTATTAAATTTTTACACTTTTTGGCCCAACAGATAAAACTTTATTGATATTTATAGAAAAAAAAACTAAAAAAAATTGAAAGCTGTAAATGTCCATAAACAGCTCAAAAAGAGTCAAAATATTTTCAAAATTGTATGGTGTATAGGAAATGCTAATATAAACATTCAGTGAAATTTTCATGTATCTACAGTTATTCGTTTTTGAATTACAACAAAATAAGGAAATCGCTACATGAGAAATCGAGTGAAAATCCAATGTTGTAAAAATTTGAATTTCAAACGCTCATAAAAATTTAATTTGACTGTCCGGTAGAGATTTTTTTATTGATAAAGGTAGATAATCTTATAAGGAATCTTGTGTTTCATTTTCAAATCTTAGATTTAAAAAGAAAAATTTTTACGAATTCTTAACTCAAAATAATTTGCTAATTTTCGTGATTTTTCCATATTTTGTCAATTTTTGAACTTTAAATGCTTATAAAAAAAAATTGTGACTAAGGATTTTTAATATTTTTCATCTGCCTTTGAAACAACATATTAGGAGCCTTCTATTAAATTTTCAAGCTTTCGCAACCAATAAATAAAATTTTATTGATATTTTTAGAAAAAAACTAAAAAAAAATGGAAAATGAAAATGTCCCTAAACAGTTCAAAATAAATCAAAATATTTTGAAAATGTTATCGTGTATAGAAAATGCAAATATAAACAACCAGTGAAAATTTCATGTATCTACGGTCATTTGTTTTAAAGTTACACCAATAACCAAATTCGATTTTTTGGAAAATCGATTTTGCTTAAAAATTCCCGTTTTTCCTTAATTTTTATGTTGTTTTTCCCGGCGCTTGTGAAAACTACTGGAAAATGTTTACTTTTGACCCCCCAAAGTACCAACTAGATTCACTTTCCTATCAGAAAAGGTACTATTGAAGAAAATCGAAGCACTTTTACTGTCCCAAAACGTGATGACAGACACAAAAATATAAATAAAAATATAAATAAAAATATAAATAAAAATATAAAAATATAAAAACATACATCATTGTAAAACCAATACATTCATCGCTCCGCTCAGAATCTAAAATATAAAAACATACATCATTGTAAAACCAATACATTCATCGCTCCGCTCAGAATCTAAAATATAAAAATATGAAAATATAAAAACATACATCATTGTAAAACCAATACATTCATCGCTCCGCTCAGAATCTAAAAATACGTACGTATACGACATACCTTACCTACCTAATATTCGTATTATATTTCGCTATGATAATATACTATATTGGTAGGTAGTAGGTACCGAAACGTACCGTTCCAATCGTCGTCGAGTGTCGACGATAAACAGACGGTTTCTCAGTGTAACTAATATTAATTAGCTATTAATAGACGAAAACTAAAACCAATATAGAATTGTTCATAAATGATAAATATATATTATAATATTATTAAGACATTATTATTATTTGACAATGAATAAAAAGTTGAAGGAATAAAAAAAGTATTCAATAAAATAGTATTCAATAGTAAAAAAATGTATTTAAAATACCGTTCAAATACTTCAAAAATAAAAGTATTTGAAAAAGTATTCAATACGGAAAAAAGTATTTGAATACTTTTACTCAAATACTTTACAACACTGCCTGTAGGGCTATATTATGATACAGCATTACAGCCAGTATCATTTTAGAACTCTATTCAATATTCATATTTCTCGTTGGGTTCATTTAAAATATTCTTAATTAAAATTTGAGTGTAAATGTGCTTACTGTATATTGTTTAACATTTGTAGTTCAAAAAATAAATTACTCAAACATTTATAAGTTATAAAAAAAAACTGCTATATTAAATTATACTTATAATATGTGGTGAATATTTAATATCTATCCGTTTGACCACCACTGGCCGAGTAATATAAATACATAGATTGCGGTGACGGTATTTTAGGTATACCTGTAATTACCGGTATTTAAAAATTGTTCGATATTTTTGAATACCGGTACACCGAGATTCGGTAATTACCGTTGTTACCGAAAATACCGTGCCTCGGTAATTACCGAAAATCCGGTATACCTACATTTATTATTTATTATTTTTGTATAATCATAAATCACAATGACATAAAAAATGCTACCTTTAAATTGTATAAGAGGTCAATCAAACTAACGGAGCTAAACGTGGCTTCGTGGGCTCTATTAATTTATTGATGTCTTTATACAGGGCGACTATATGTTGTTAAATTGTTAAATTGTTTTAAGTATTATATTATACGAAATTCTTCGTGAATATATTATCTATTTTTTCTAATAATATTTCCTATGTATTAGTATTACGAACTCAGGCCCTATTTTTATGTGCACCACGACACACAATGTGCACTACGAATATACAAGTGTGCACTACGATTTGAACGTGTGTGCACTACGGTCTACAAAACAAAAATTGCCAAGTCAGGGATTGGCATGTAAACTTTCTTGATTTTGAATTTTTAGAAATTTTTTAACTGATTTAATCACACCCAAGCGGTCAAACAATATGAATCCAGAAAAATGTCGGCGTGAACAGCCCCACAAAAAATCATTTTCATTTTCATTTAGTGAGATAGAACTCCGAAACCGGACAGCGGATTTCGTTGATTTTGGTCTTGTTAGATTCACATTGGTTAGGAGAAGTGCAGTGAAGATTTGCAGAACTTTATCTTTAATAGTTAATTCACTACAGAACATTAAAATAAATTAAAACAAATTTTATTGGGCGTTTTTTTATGTTTTTCATCGTTACAGCTTTGTAATGAATTAACGATTTTAGATAAAGTTCTGAAAATCTTCACTGCAATTCTCCTAGCAAATGTGAATTTAACAAGACCCCAAACAACAAAATCCGTTCTCCAGTTTCGGAGATCTACATCTCTAAATGAAAATCTAGAGAAAATAACTCTTTTTTTTGTTATCTGTGAAAAATTAAATAATTTAAAAAAAAAATTAATTCCATATTTAGTGTCTACCTGATAATCTCTTTTTAATGAGTTATCAACCAAATTTCTAGTTAGGTATCATAGTTTAGGATAAAAGTTAAAAAATAGAAATTTTGGGACTGTTCACGCGAATGTTTTTATCGATTCAAATTGGGTATACCGCTTGGGTGTGATATAAAATCTCTCTTATTAATATTTTATATTAAAGCTAGCTAAATTACCCACCTATTCATCATTACTGAGTTACATTTTTATTATTTTCCTATTTAACACAAATTCTTGAAGTTTTCAAAGTTCAGACTTTTTTCATTTCAATTACTATACTTACTTGATGAAAAATCAAGAAAGTAATATGCATTGTTATGATTTTAATTATTAAAAAGTTAAGTTAAGGTTTTTATTATTATATTATGCTATTTAATTTTTATGATTTTTATTAAAAGATAAGTACCTATTTTGTTGTTTTATTAAATTGCATTGTTAAATTATTGTATACATATGGTATATAATATATATATATTATATATGTAATATGTATTATGTAATACATTCCTTTTGCTAAGATGGTAGCGAGAATAAAATGAAACTTGCAGTCCGAAATTTTAAAAATAATAGGGCCTGTACGAACTTATAACTTATATAAAAAATATATTTCTGGATAATAATGTGAAAAATCAAAATTGACTTAATTCGGAATATTAAAAATAATAGAAATAAGTTGATTTTAAGTTAACGTAGATACAATTGAGTTAAGTAAAACTTAAGTTAATTGAAACTTCGAACTAGTTAGTTAAGTTAATAAGTTAAAAATAACTTAACTTTTAACTTATTAACCATAATAATTAACATAGGTCCAGCTTTGGTAAAATGTCAATAACATTTATTGTTGATTGTATAATTTTGTAATGCATTATAGTTTAATAGTTATTTTGTTTGCGTGCTTAAGTTAATCAACATTCTTTATGTTTTCAGGATATTGATGATTCTTCTATTTCAAGTACACCTGGGTATATGGATCCGAGTAGTTTCATCAAGAAGGTAACTAACATTAACTTCGTAAGTTAGAATTGACATCTAAACGTTTGGGTGGGTTATTATTATTATTAGTAGTAGTAATTAACTATTAATATTTTTAAATTATCATTTATTGCTTCCGGGAAAAAGAAATGTTGAGCAATAGTTTGTTTTTTAATTGTTTAGAAAACCTCTGTAAAATAACATCCGAATATCATTAATCATTAAATATAATTTATAAGTTAAAAGTTAAAACTATTAAAATCGAAATATCCTCTTAGAAAATGTAAGCCATTAACAAGAATAATTAGTTTATTTACTTTAAAGATCCCTAACAGTGAGCATTTCGATACTTATTGGTTATTTCTCCTTACTACACGACTCCACCTTATCAGAACTTTCGGGTAAATCGTATAAACTTATATTAACCATTAGCCATTGTTTTCATTTTTATAAAAATTCAGGTCATACTATTTAAATACTAAACAGTTGACTATTTTCATTTTAATTTTGTCTTACAGTTTTTAAATTATTAAATTCTTCCATAAAATGCTTATCAGATTACAAAAAATAAAAGTTGTTGAAATTTGAATAGTTTTAACTTATTAACCACTCTTTCCTCAGATATGTCTTACATATTTATAGTTAAAGTTATTATATACAATTATCAATTTATATACATAATTTTAAATTTAAATGAATAACTCTGTTCAAAGTGTTCAAATTAATATATTTATTTATACCTATAGTATTAGTACAACTGTACAAGTATTTATGAGGTATTAAGTATTATATTATCAGATACTAATGTAATATTTTTTTTTTTATCATTTATAGGTTACTGTGAAAGCAACATTTGATTATGAGAGCCGACAAGATGATGAATTGTCATTTTGCAAGCATGCTGTAATTACAAATGTAGTGAAACAGGACAGTGGTTGGTGGCGTGGTGATTATGGTGGAAAACGGCAACATTGGTTTCCCAGTAATCACGTAGAAGAATTACAGGAGGCACACATAGAAAAATCTGATAGCGGTGTAAGTATAAGGACTTTTAAGCAAACCAGAATGAATATCAATTTACTTGGAATTATTAATAAATAATCATTATAATATATAATATTATATTTACATATTTGTATTCAGCATAAGCATAACTAGGGGGGCTTGGGTGGGCTTCAGCCCCCTTAGAATTTCTTAAGCGCCTATACATTTTATTAATAATTTACTTATTAAAAAAATGCTAGGGCTGAAACCCCCTAACTTTAAGGTCTAGTTATGCTTATGATGTTCAGCAATATCTAATAACAATTTACAGAGACACACAGAGTGTCCACCATGTGATATAACTATTATCTAATTAATATTTTTTTAAATGATTAGTGTGTTATAATGTATTATAGTATAATTGTATATATCTAAATGGTTAATTCATGTGTTAATACTTATTATAAATCTGAGATGGTAAATTTATAAGGCTTATTTATATATTATTCTATACTTAAAAAGGTCAGGAATTAATTTTAAGGAATAAATTAGCGAGTGAGAGGTAATTAAATGACATTTGAGGACAAATAGCACGAGACACTCTGTATGTAAAAAATATGTTTACCTAATCTAATTAATAATAATAACTATTTGTTTTTATTTAAATATGTTCTAGTCAACAGAGTCTATGTTTTTGGGAAATTCACAAAAAGGGAGCTTAGACTTAACTGGCGCTTTAGTTGAGATCGGAAAATTAAATCAACTGAAACTTGAGTGGATGATCAAAATACAAACCTCTAATGCATGCACCCCATTCGTTGTAGGTTCAGTATCACGAGAACAAGCGGAAGAATGGAGAAATCTTATTATCGAAACTGCCCATAATGCCAGTGCAAGAGTAATAATATAAAATAATTTACTTTTAATTTTATATTAATGCTATATATTGTTTTTTTTTTATCAAGGAAACAGAAAATAAAAAAATGGAAAGACAGTTGAAAATTGCCAAAGAAATATCTGATCTTATTATTTATTGTCGATCAGTGGCTTTTTGTCTAGAAACACAACGAGAACGTGGATTTGTACACAATGAAATGTCTTCTTTTCCCGAAAATAAAGCGGAAAAACTTATGTGTCATCAAGAAAGCGTATTCTTCTTTCGTTATCATCAAATTCAATTTAGTAGAGTATTTCCAAAAGGTCAACGCATTGACTCCTCTAATTATTCGCCAATAGCTATATGGAATACAGGATGTCAGATGGCTGCTCTTAATTACCAGTCACCAGGTATATAATTCAATTATTTTTTGACAGTTGTTTTATAATAATTTAATTATTGGGTTTTAGATAAATCAATGCAATTAAATCAAGCCAAATTTCGTTTAAACGGTGGTTGTGGCTATGTTTTAAAACCAGATTATATGTTAGACGAAAGTGATAAACTCTCAACAAATTGGATGGAAGAGACATTATCACTAACAGTTTGCATTATTGCTGGTCGACATGTTGGTAGACCAGGTCGTAACGGAATTTCTAATCCATTTGTTATTGTTGAGGTGTATGGAGCTGAATACGATTCAGGATTAAAATTAAATACACGCACAATACGTATGTTTATTTTTGTTTTATGAATGAATTATGCTTGTTACAGTTTTATATTTTTATAGCTGATAATGGATTTAATCCAGTTTGGAATGAAACTTCTGAATTTGAAATTGCAAATCCTGCAGTTGCATTTATTAGGTTTGTTGTGAATGATGAAGATATGTTTGGCGATTCCAATTTCATAGGACAAGGAACATATTCGGTATGATTCTCTAAACCATGTTTTTAATATTAATTTATAACTTATATAGACTACTTATTGTTTCAGATAATTTCATTGAGGTCAGGTTATAGAAGTGTTCCATTAAAAAATGGCTATTCTGAAGATATTCCTTTGGCGTCTCTCTTAGTACATATCACAATTAGAAGTAATACTGTTAGCAAACCAAACAATAATTTTTTTTTTAAATCTATTCAAAGTTAATTATTTTGAGCGTATTTTAAGTGATAATTGCTAACTGACTATTTATAAACTTTTTCATTTAAATTAATATTAAAATTAACTGCCTTTCATTGCTTTCATTGTATGTATAATATTTTACATACATACAATTAGTAAATGAGATTCAATTTTTCCTATGTTTTAAATAAAACTGTTAATAAAAAATAATATTTTATTGTAAATAAATGTGTGAATAAATAAAACATCAGTACATCTTAAAATTGATATTTTTCGAACAAAATATAGAACTACAATTTTGAGAAAAGAGCATTCTCTACAACAATAAAATAATTTAGGGGGTTTATATAGGCAATTTTATGAACATTATTGTAAAAATGTTTTAATCAAAAACTAGTTTATTATATTTTTCTAGACATTTCGGTTATAAGTTAATATCACTTGTTGTTTATGTTATCTAAATATATAAATATTGGTTGTAGCAAATTGTTGTAAACCAATATATTTTTTTGATTAGACTAAACTTTTTCAGGTATTTATGTTAATGTGTTTTTATCAAGTATCATTTGTAGAAATAAAAATAACAGTTATTACAATATTTTTATTTAAAATATTAATAAATATAATACATAATATGTAAGACAAATGAGACAAGTAAACAAATTACATATTAATATTATTCAACTTAAACCATTCTATGTTCTACATCTGATAAAAATGATACTGTGTTTGTCAGCTTAATTCAGCTATTGACGGCACTTCTTAGATATTACTACAAACTATTATTTCAGATATAGTTAGTTGCATGTCACTAATTGTATTGCTATCTTACCTTGTATGTTTATCTACCTAATTGTACAAAGTGTTCGGGCCTTTTATTTTATATTTTTATAAAAGATAAATAAAATATTGTTAGCAATATATGAATAATAGAACCAAAATTGCAAACTGTGAAAATATAATAATATAATAATCCATCTAACCTTTCATAAGTTATTTTAAAATTATACAAATATGTGTGTACACTGTATAGTGTTCATATATATTACAGCTTTATATTGTATATTATTTAATTGATTTAGTTAATTTAAGTTTTTACAAATAGTTTTTTATATAGTTTTTGGTATTTTTATAAAAAATATAAGGTAATAGGCAAAATATATATTTATGTTATATTTATCATTTATGTTCTATTTATAAAATATATTGATTATTATAAATATTATTATTATCTGTTAAATATAAAAGTATACATGAAATATATTTTATATTACGCTTGAATATACTACGCCTATTTCTTTCCAAATTGTTTTTATTGTAAACAATTTATTATTTATGTTTGTATCAAATGTAGATTATAATGGATAGACATATAAGTATAGTGTTATTTTATTGTCTTAGATATATTAATTATTCAAACGAGCATGATCAAAACAAATACAAAAAAAATATTTTATTAAGAATTATTTAGTGTTAAATTTATTTATTACTTTTATTACATATACAATTTATTCTATTGGGGGACGAGGTGGCCGAGCGGTCTAACGCGTCGACTGCGGCGCTGGCAGTCGCGGGTTCGACTCTCGACCACTGGGCGGCATTTTTCTCCGGGCAAGTCACGGTGTCCGGAGTACAAATCCCGCCATCTCCCACCCCGGGGCATGGCAGAAACCTACGGGTGCCCCAATAAAAATTCTGCCACCACAAACACACTCGTGTACCAACCTACCCAATCTAAAAACCTGCAGTTCCCTCCACACACCCAATGGCCCATGTTGCCACGGGTTATACAATAAAAAAAAAAAAAAAAAAAATTTATTCTATTGTATTAATAATAGGTATATTATAACAAAACTTTTATCTGTCTAATGGAATATAGTCCATAGAAAATAATTTAAATAATATTTGTCCTTGAATATTAAAAATATTTTAGTCTTCTTATGAGTGTTGCTGCATAGAGCTGAGCTGCAAAGTTATTGCTTTAAGAGGACGTCGCACCCGCTGTGTTGTCTCCGTCTTACACACATATACGACATAGCAAATGTTTGTTGGCTAGTTTCAATAGGGCATTGTCAGTTTTGATATTAGAGTGAATTGACCTATTATCAAACTTTTAGGTAACAACATTATCTGTGTTCTCTCGTTGGTTTTTTACGATTTTTTAATTTTTAAGTGAGTTATGGGTATGTAAAGTATTCATATTCTAAAATGTTCATAACTCACTTAAAAATTAAAATATCGTAAAAAACCAAAAAACCAACGAGAGAACACAGATAATGTTGTTACCTAAAAGTTTGATAATAGGTCGATTCACTCTAATATCAAAACTGATAATACCCTATTGAAACTAGCAAACGAAAATTTGATATGTCGTACGTGTGTAAGACGGAGACAACACATCCGGGTGAGACGTCCTCTTAATAATTTGTTTCAATTATGTTAGGGTACTAATTTTTTTGTGTAACAAAAAGCTCTAGAACTCTTTCAGCAACTCTCTATGAATATGTTATGGGAAATGGGACACCATGCATATTGGTGTTTTTGGTCCATTAAAATATTATTTCTCCCAATCAATCAATAAATTTGTATATTGCTCAGAGTTAATTTGGTGTTTCATAAAACAAAAATAATTATAAATTGTTATTTGATTAAGTTATTAACTTTAAATACCTATGAAAGTACAATGTTTCCTTTCAATTTAGTATGTATGTATTTATTGGCATTGTTTATATAAACAAAATGGTACCATTGGGCATTGAGTATAGATAGAAACTGTTTGTAGGTACATCTTAAAATACTCATAACTCGCTTTAGAAATACAACAAAAAGCCTATGTCATTGTCTACGAAAACGAATGTGCCGTTGGTGGCTCCGACTACTTTTGCCGGCGTCTAATTAGGACGCATAGTTTTAGGTTACGTTCACACATGAAAAGCGCGAGATTTTCAAATTCTTTTCAAATAAAACGATTTTTTTCTAGCATTTTACTACGTGCTATACGTTACTATATGCTACGTTACTATTTTTGTTTTACCAAAATGAGTGACTATACACTATTGATGAAATTGGAATGCCGTCAACGAGTACTGCAGCTGATCTTCCTTCAACTCCAGTAAAAAAAGAGGGTAAATCCAACGACCAACTCAAAAAAAGAAATTATTCAAAATTGGTTGAATGAGAAAAAAATCCCGTTTTCACCACTGGAAACTAAGGTGGAGGTACTCGAAAAAGTTAAAATCAATAAAAAAAAAAAGAACGTGTTTACGAATTAGACGAAGAGGCTTACAAAACGGGTCATGAAGTGGTACGTCGTCCTCCACATCACTGCCAGTAAAACTCGATTGAATTGATATGGGCACAAGTAAAAGGCGAGATAGCCACTAAAAACAAAACTTTTAAAATAGCAGATGTTGAAAAATTAACACATGAAGCTATTGAAACTGTTACTGTGGAGAACCGGAAGAAATGTGTTGAGCATGCAGAGAGAGTGCAAAAAGAAGACGCTGAAAAGGAATTGGTGAGAGAAATTCGTCTGGAACCAGTCATTTTGACGATCAACCCTGAAAACGATGTTTCCTCATTTTCAGATTCCGATGATGCCGAAGACAGTTGTGATGATGAATGATGATATGTAAATAGAAATTTTTTTTATTGTTTACTTACAATATTGACATAGCGTAGTAAAACGGCTGAAATCTATAATTGTGTACTTTAATTATATCAAAACATAACAATAAAAACATAAAATTTTATTTACTTATTCAATATATGATTTTATATATATGCTGTCGTGTACGGTGTACGCTATAATCTTGTCATCGACAATATACGTCTTGCGTATACCGCAACAGCGTTATATTATTTTCCCGAGTTAATTATATTCCTTCTAGTACGGAGTCAACACTGAATAGTTTATTTGCGTACTAGTGTGTGCATAGATATATATGAGTGTGTGTTCAGAGACTCACACTAATAAGTAATTGTAATAACAGTCATAATAACCAGTGCCAAATATCTTTAATCGCGATCAAATTTAATATGCGATTTGTGATGATGATATGAACGCGGTAAAATGGTACGGTTACTTTGTTTTCAAATATCCCGCCAACAGCTGCTGTTACTCACTAGTGTGATAACGCTTAGCGGTGGGCGGAGCCACCAACCGCACATTCATTTGGCCATGTTTGGCCCCTTAGATCATAATATGGTTATGGTATATGATGATGATCTAAGTTTGGCCCCGACTTTTTTATTAGATAATAATCTTACCTTTAAATTTTATAAGAGATCGATTCGCACTAATTCTTAAACTAACGGAGATAAACGTGTTCTGCCGAGCGTAAAATTCTCTGTGTTACGCACTTGTAACACGGAGACAACAAATGCCACTGTAACAACGGCGAACGGCCCCTAAAGTATACAAGACGTATACCTGTACGTCCTGCCAAATCGTTAAACAATGTAATTATTAATTATATAAAAGTACCTATAGTCTGTTCTCTGTACCTTTCACGGTTTTTTATAATCGAAGACCGTGGTTTTATATATAGTATCCAAAGCCGTGGTACACTGGTACCATAGAGTAAGAATATGACTGGTACCTTTAAATGTACGCGTACCGTGAACTGGTCACACTGTGCCGGTCCAGCTGTTTGGGTGGTGCTGATAAAGAGTAAAAGCCCATGGAAAACCTCAATAATAATAATAATAATAATAATTTGCGAATTACAAGTCGAGTGTCGACTGTTTAACCTTCACGGTGCGGACGACTGATCGATTTTTTGTCCGTTTGTCACTGGGCAGCAAGCAATAACCGACTTCGCTGTTTTTTCTGGTCCATCCAGTCCGTTTTACAGCATCGATCAAGATGGGAATCGGCGACTATCCTGCCGAATACAACCCAAAAGTCCATGGACCGTACGATCCTGCTCGTTATTATGGCACACCCGACAAACCTTTTGGGCAACTAAAACTGGGAGAGGTAACTATTTTTTTCTCTCGATATTTTAACCTAACTACGCACCCTGGAAGCGACGAACACGTTCCTTGTTTGCAGCCGTACAATTTATGCGTTAGGTTTATTTATTTTTTGGACGTTCCATACCCAAGTATGATGGTTTTGTATCTGACAACAGTCAACTTTATGCCGATCGAAGTTTGACAGTAGTACAGGGGCCCCAAGTGGTACGTTAAAATAGTAACCACCAGCCCAATTGTATGACCTACGAGTAATTCTAAAAATATTGAAATTGATTACAGATTACCTTTAGTTATGTCCATTATAATGTGGCTTGTATCATTGCTCCGTGCTACTAAGTCCAAACCTATGTCGTGTGTTGATATATTTGAAAATAAAAATAAAATAACCCAAAAAGAACACCCTTTGTCCTTCATTAAAATTCATTCTTACCTATTTATAACTTTCATACTTTTGACATTTGATACAATTATCAGTTTTAGTGGGAGATTTGTTATTTAATAATAAATACCTATTTATATAAGAAATTCTATTTAGTATTATCATTGATTAAATATACAGTTTGTAGTATGTTTAATCAATGATATTACATACAACAATATATAAATTATTATTCATAATTTACATTTCAATATGTATGTATAATTCTACATATCGGTTAAATTGATATTTGTATACAAAAATTATTTTTTATTTTTTCAGTAGATAATTATTTAGTTACCAGCTACCTACAATACATTTCAACTACTTGACACTTGAATTTAATAATAATTAATAAATATAGTTTATCAATTTTATTCATTATTTTCATTATGTATTTTTTTCAGGTCACTGAATGGGTGGGACGTCGTAACAAATCTCCAAAAGCAATTGCTGGATTATTTTCCCGCGCATATTGGAGATGGTCACATAAATATGTTCAACCGAAACGTACAACAGCTGCTCCATTGATTCATATTCTTGCAGGTTCCATGTTGTTTTTCTACGCTATTAACTATGGCAAATTTGTTAATCATCGCAACTACAAACACCACTAATAGTTTGATTATTAAACAGCAGAATTTATATTATTAGTTAAATAAACATGATTTAAAACACTTATACAATATAATAAAATACATGTTTTCCAAAACAACAGAATATCTTTTTTATGAAGTTTAGTATCAATTTGTAATATTTATAGACATTAAAAAAATTATACTTGAAGAAAACTTAGTATTAATTATTATATTATGTGTTATACTTATACAATTAACTATTATAGCCATAATTTCACATGAAGCCTTTTAGTAGTTCTTTTGAGAAGAATAACAATATTTATTTTAAAGATTTAGGTTAACACTTATTGGAATATAGGTATACTAAATTTTAAAAGTTTTAGGGCTAGTTGTGTCGCCTACGGTTAAACTACGATTAAGCTTAATCAGCTGATAACAGATATTTAACCGGGCAAAATCGGCCGATTTCACTCCAGTTAACTTTAATCATAGATGGTACAACTGGCCCTTATAGTTAATTCATAAACACAACGTTAATATCTTACAAATACAAATAATTTATTGTATGATGATTATTTCATTCATCATAAATGCTCTTTCATTATTAATTTTCATCTAAAATCAAATTAAAATTAAAATTAAACTAATTAACGATAATATAATAAAATATTATTTATTTATATTTTATATGATCGAATGATTTATCTGTAATTGAATTAAATTATATATAAATGGTAAAAATCTTCTCCCAACACCAACATTTTATCCAAAGATGGATGCTATAAAGTATCTTTATTGTTGATGGGGGGAGGAGGTGGAAAAAATGTGTATCCGCGGCGGGATTACACCTTTACACGGCCATTGGTACAAGTACTGTTACACTAAATCAGGTGCTTAGCCACAAGTGTCAGTTGCCTACCAGACGTTCAACATGGCTGGATCAAAGTGTTATTTTGCAGTTCGAGCTGTCAACAAACGCTTGAGATGTAAACCGTGCACTATTGTTAGTGTTTTCTGACTCGATAACATTTGAAATATCTCTTTCAATATGTAAAATTGACATATCAGTAAATCTATCCTGGTTCATACTAGATCTGATCCACGTTTTTATTCTCCGCATGACAGAGAAAGAACGTTCACAGGAAGCAGAGCTGATGGGCAGAGTTAAAGCAACTTGCATTAATTTATATAAATTGGCAAAAACGTTCTGGTCTATTTTTTGTAATACATCACCAAGAGTAAAATCAGAATTTTGAATACTATTTTTAATTACAGTCATTTCAGCTTCTAATGATTCAATATTAATATCCAACAATTTCTAAATATAAAATTAAAAAAAATTAGTAGATATATTATAATAAAATAATGAAATGTGAAGAATTACACATTTTAATTTTCAACTTGGTATACATATAATTTTAATTAGATATATACCTCATAGTTTTGTATGAATGGTAAACTTTTTTTGAATTGTAATTTAAAAAAACTGTCAACAGATGATGCTAAACGTAAGCTTTCAGATGAAAATCTAGTTTTTATGCTGGTAATAATTGCATCCAGAATTCTATAATATGCATTAATTTTCCAGTTTTCTTGATCCGATATATTTAAAGAAGGCTCATCAAATTCTGAGTATTCATGCCCAGTAGTAGTAGAGGTACAATAATCTCTTAAATATGTGCTTTCTTTTCTTTTACGCTTAGAATTAGAGCCTTAAATTAAATACATAATAATAAACCAAATGCCAATTTAACATCAAACTTACTAAACATCATGATTAATAACATTTTAAGAATAATAATTAATATAATTAAAAAAGTAGGTACCTCTAGAAGGTGTTTCAATTGGTATATTATGTTTTTCAGCAAAATTTGTTATTTTAGACCATATTTCAGAAAACTTATTGGAGCTTCTATAATTTTCAAATGTTTGAATAACTCCAAAAATAATATTAGAAGCTTCACCTAATATGGAAGTTTTTTTTTGTAACTGGTTACTCAGAATATTTATAACTTTAAGTACATCCTGAACTCTGAAGTATAATTAAATAAATTATAAATTATGCTTTTTGAATAGAACTTAATAAGCCTAGAAAAATTAAGTAGTGTCTACCGATAATAATATAAATTATAATCACGGATGATTATAATATATAATAATACCGTATAAACACAAAATTATATACATTTCATTTTTATTCGATAATTATTTATTGTTTATCTAGACACGCGGTAGCGTGTCAAGCCAAGTTCTAGCTAATAGAACTGGCGAGCAGCACCGTGTGTAATATTACACGAACCATTTGGAGCCACTTTTGACCCCCTCATAACTCAAAAACTATTCCACATAAACATGTCAAATTTAGCTCATATATTGAGACTAACGAGATACATATGTGCTCTAAATTTCATAAACACACTTCAAACCGTTATTTAGATATTAACGTCCGAAAATCGTCATTTTTATCACTGACTGACCTATAGATCAAAATTCTAACCCAGTTCCAGATGACCTAGAAAGTTCAAATTTGGCATACAGATAGGTAGTTAGGTAAAAACAAAGGAAAAAATCAGAAACTTGAAAATTTTTTAATTTTTAATTTTTTAATCAATTGATTTTATTATAATTTTGCAATTATTTTATCTATTATGTTTAATTTTTCAATTAATTAATGAATTGCCTCTAATTTAATGTAATGTAATGTAATGTTGACTTAAATAACCTTTCCCGTATCGCCGCTCCAAAAATACGACTAGCCGAATATGTGTCGATATTGTCGACCCGCGCGCAGCAACATACTTTTTTTGGGCCCATATAATGTTCCAGAAAAAAAACCGCCAGAATGTAGATTAGTCGAATGTTAAATAACAGAAATTAATATTACAGAATTGAAAGCAACCAGAATATAAAAAGCCCAGATAATATTTAAACAGAAAATAAAATGAAAGAAAGTAAATAGCATAGAATTTAAACTGATAAGAATGTATATCAGTAGAACGTAAAAATCCAGAAAATAATATTGCAGAAATTCCGCTGGGTGTATAATTCCAGAATGGAATAAAATATAACTCAATTTTGCAGAACGGTGAAAAAGTTTGCATAAAATATTTTACTCGAAAATTATATATTAGAAAATATCTTTCCAGAAGTACCTATATTGAAATTTTTTAATTGTTAATTTAAATGGGTGGGTACAAATTATAATTTGTTAACATATTCCTGTTTTTAAATTAATGATGCAGCCACAGAATAGATTTAATCTATTCTGTGATGCAGCTGCTAATAGTAAGTAACTAGTACCCAAATATTAATAAATAGGGCTAGGGACTTATAGGAGTTTGCATGTTTCTCAATAATCATTCAAAACATAGCTAAGTAATATAGAAATTTGTTTCATAGTACTAAGAGTTAAAAGCAATAATTTTTTTTTGCATATTTTGCATATTCAGCTTTTTTCTGTTTAAGAGCATATTTTGTTATATTTGTACTTTAAGTGCATAGTTCACATTATTTCATATTTTATTTATAAATTATATGTTTTAATAATAAAGTTGTATGACAAAGGACATAAACAGCATCCAAAAAGCTAAAGAAATGGTTAACAACCCACATTTGAAAGGAGGCTTAGCATTTATTTCTTTCAACTATAGTTTTCATGTATTACACGTTTGGAAAAACAAAACATGATGTTATCTGAGTATTTCAGTCATAAAAACTGTCAAAGAAAAATTAAAAAATCTACAACGAGATAAGGGAAAAGCAATTTATAAAAAAATTAATAAACGTACTGTCAAAAATGAAGGATTTAAAATTATTTCTAATGTATTAGAAGGAATAGTCAATTCGATGGAAAATCTTGAAGACTATTGGAGGTCAACGACTTTATACTATAAATTCGCTCTAATAGCGTCTGTTGATGTCGAGCGTTTGTTTTTGAGGTACAAAAGTTTATTAGCGAACAATCGGCGCTCATTTACATTTGAAAATATACAAAAAATATTAGACACACAATGCAATTCATTTGGGTAGGATTTTAAAAATTATTAAAATATCAACACAATATTAATTTATAATTGAATTTTTTGTTTCTTTTTGTTTTGTTTAAACTTTAAAGGCAAGTTTTAAGAAGAAGAAATTAAAGTAATAAATAGTAATAATTTATAATAGTAAACTACTAAACTACTAAACTAATAAATAAACTTGTAAATTTTTGGTTTTTAATGAAAAGTAAAATATTTTTAAGAGCATATTTTAGCATTTTTGCATATTTTTAGAGAATTTTTGATGGATTTAAGAGGATGTCAGCGCACTATTTGTTTTCTCTCTCTGGCCCACGCGCAGCATAGACAAAACGCATGAACGCAGAATCATTTTTTCTATGTTTTAAGTAATCTTAGAGTAAAATCACCTATTACAAAAAAGATAGAGAATAATATTTTTGAGGGAATGTCATATCGATTTTATATTTTATTGTTATTTGACTTTGTATTCGACTTTCAAAATAAATAAAAAAAGTTGTACATTAAAATGATGTTTAAATTGTTTTGAGATAATATTTAGACAAATCGATATGACATTCCCTCAAAAATAGTATTCTCTATCTTTTTTGTAATGGGTGCTTTTACTCTAAGATTACTTAAAAACATAGAAAAAATGTTTCTGCGTAAATGTGTTTTGTCTATGTTGCGAGTGGGTCAGAGAGAGAAAACAAATAGTGCCCTGACATCCTCTTAAGGGCATAAATGCATGCATATTTTAAGGTTTTTCAGAGCATGAAGTCCCTAGCCCTATTAATAAATAATACTAGTAATTGAAAAGAAACAATTAAGGGATAAAATAGCTAGCCTCAATAAAAATTTAAAATAAAAAAATTGGTATTCTAAATAGGTACCTAGTTCTAGTATTGATTTTAGAATATACATACTTTATTATAATAGAATATATATTCTAAAATCAATGGTTCTAGTTATATTTTATGTAGGTTCTTAACCTTCTTTTATACCTATCATAATTAATTTTATCATAACTCAATGTTAAAT